GTTATAAAGAAGCTTTAACAAAAATATTGCGCCAGAATACAAAAATTTTATCCAAACTGGATATAATTATTTCCAACCAAAAGGCTTTAGAAAACAGAGTATCGAAAGTAGAAGAATCGGTCGATAAAAATAATGATAGTAATCAAGGGGATGAAGAATATATAAAGGTAAGACCCAAAAATACAAATATTTACGTAAATCATGGTTGAACATTTAGTAGTAATTCCTCATTAAATCATTATATTCTTGATTATAGAAAATAATCAAAGAAGTTGCTAAAAAGTTACTTGAAGCTTCAATATATCCTACCCCCGATGAACTTCGAGAGTTCACTAATAATTATATGAATGAAAACTACGATGATTTTATTAAACGGTTTAAAAGATATGATAAATGGATTATATTTTATGAAAAAAACATTGCTTCTCCCGTAAGTTTTGAGAAATTACGATTTTACATTAATTTATTAAAATTTAAATTTAAAATCTTTTCTTTAGCTTCTAGCTAAACATCGTAGTGCCCGGGGTTCTTTAGCTTCTAAAGTGAAAGACATAATGTATGTCGTTTTTAAAGAATTTAACCTTCCCACAATCCCTGCCATAAACACGGCATTAAAGGAAAGCGAAATAAGAAAATGGAAAGGGAGCCCAGCTGTGAAAAATTGTTACGGTAATTTATTCAAAAAAATCAAGAATTCGGATCTGGAGACATATATGTCGAGAATCCTCCAAATACTTAAAGGCAAAAATCAATTATCTAATATCAATCACCGGACAAATTCAGTCACATGATGATCAAATTTTTTAATTAGTAATGATCTACATATTACATCACCGATTTCATATAAAATCGTCAAATAACTGAAGTTTCATACACAATAAAAAAATTATTGGCTGGCTAATAAGAAATGTGACCTAGTTACAGATCAAAAAAAGCCTTTTTTAAAAGTAGGTATGTTGTCAGAACGCGCTTTTTGAATTTAGTTTAAAAGGATCTCGGCTATAAGGTTACTCACAAAGCTTACGTATAAACTTTTAAATTCTGAAATGTCTTTAAATAAAACACACGAAAAAGCCCCAAAAGCTTCACTTTTAGGAATATCAAGTATTTTACCAAAAGGAAGCGAAGAATATTGTCTTTTTGATAGTGAAAACACGGAATCTGAAACTATATATGATGATAATTTTGAAACTGAAATTGAACAAGTTACTTTTTCTTTGGATGAAGAATATTTAAAAAAAGTTATTGATATAGAGGATACAAGTGAAACAGATAGTATATTTGACGATGATTCAATTTCAGAAACAGATTCGGAAGACAATGATATAATTATTGAACAAAAAGCATCTAAAAATTTAACACGATGTGTTATTGTTGATAAGATCGAAGGCCATATTAAAAAATGTGAAAATTCAAAAAGTTTTCGAACATTATGGCAGCTTTGTGGTGTATATCAAATAGATGGGAAAAGCATTGTTGAAGCAGATGGTGTATTAGAACGGCTAGGCGTTTGTAGTTATCATTTTAACAATGATCAAAAAAATCTTCATGAACCGGGCTTTAAACAATTAAAAGACACAAGTCAAAGTGTACTTTATTGAAGAAGATGTTTATTTTGTGAAAAACTTTATTATTTTTTTACACGAGGCACAGGATGCGAGAAACATTCATGGAAGATAATTGAAAGGAATGTTCAAGTGGTCTGTAATGGCCAATTTAATTGTAGCGCGTTAGAACCATACAATTCTTTATGTGAACGTGCTTTTAATAAAATTAAAAATCCTCGATATGTATGTTGTAATTGTTATGAACATGAAGGAGGACATTTTCACACTAGACCAAGAAGAGGTCGAGAAATACTATTATGTAAAAAAAGGGGAGACCATAAGGGGGATATAAAAAAAAACTTGAAAATGTTAGCCAATTGGCTTCTACATGTCGCAAATAATGAAAATTTTGAATATCAGGAAAATGTTCTTACGGCAATTTTGCCACAAATTAGTCCATTTTTTAATGCAAAAAATAAATCTACAATGGTATCACAACCAGACATATCTAATACACTCGATAAATCTCTATATTCTAATCACAGTGCTCCAAGTTATTTTATATTAAAAACAGTAATGAAATTAAACCAAATTCCTATCGAATTTCAAGAAGAGGAGTTGAATGAACTAAAATATAAAGAAATTGGCCGGGAAATGGGATAAAATCTATGGCAATCATATAAATGTCTTAAAAAAAATATAAATAACTTACAAACTTCAGAAAGTCTTAATGATTATATTAGTGTATTTTCCGAGTCTTTAACAAATTTTTTTGAGTCCATGCTTACAACAATATTGGAAAGAAAGACCGCAGAATCCAACCGAAAATGACTCCTAAAAGAAAAATCATTAAAGGAATTAGATTCGCAAAAAATCAACCATCTTTTTTCTTTATTAATTTCAGCTTTAATTAATTTTACATTTCCATACCTAAATTTGTGGCTACCGAATGTATTAGCTTCATTATGCCGACGACCAAAATTATTATCTTCATTGCATGACCTTTTAACCAAATGTTCTATTATTGGACATACGAATAGACATGAACGAAGATTGGAAAAAATACGGATGAAAAGTGCTGACCCTTTTAAACGCCTATTGACCGAAAAAAATGTCTTTAATTTAGCTGTGATTGATAATATCGATTTTAAAGAAAGAAGCTTTCAATTTGGAAATATCTATGATGTAACTCGAGGTACATCACATGCTACGCTAAGAATGGTGTTTCAGTTTTCATTACCGGAAGTTATTGTTGAAAAACCAGAACCAATACGTGATCTAAATATTGATACACAAATCTTTAAAATATCACAAGAAATGCGCGATATTATTTTCAAAATAAATGAAATTTTTATAAGTTTGCTGGCATTCCGGTACAATGAAAGACAAGAACTAGAATACAATAAGATTGATCTTACAGCAATAAATTCAGAAATATTAAGGCAAACAGAATTCGGCTGTAATCTTCCACCTCCAAACGTAGTCATACTAGAACCAAGTGGATCCCCAAATGATGATAATGAAATCTTACGTGCTATGGAAATGTATAGAAGAGATTTTTCTTTGGAGGAGAATGATTTTCTAGATATTTGTGCAGATGAGGCGATATTTAGACGATTAATTAAAATGCCGCAATAAATCAGAAAATATACGGCCTATTCTTGGTCAGTGGCACGCCTCAAAGGATATAATGAGCGCTTTGGTTACATTATTTTCAAGTTACAGAATATATGATTTGGCTACGGCTTTAGGTGTGAAATTTTTGGATAAATTTGCAGCTGTTATTGACTATCGATCTACAAGAAGGGTTTTAGAACTAATCTGGGTTGCAGTTGGAGCAGCCATTAATATATACTTACAAAAAAGTAAGATTAAAATCAAAGAAATATTATCTTGTCCTGCAAATGAGAAAATATGCTTAAGAATATGGTACTTATATTATGAATGGTTTGCAATATGGAAAACTCATCTTACCAGAATACGCTATGGAAATTATGAATTACAAAAATTTGGATTAGCAGCTTTTGCTCCACTTTTTCCTGCCGCGGGAAAAAGCAATTATGCTACTTCTGTTACACATTTTCTTGCGAATTTAGAAAAATATCCACTGTTAGAAAAAAAACTTCGTCTTTGTGCTTCTATAAATTTAGCAAGAGAAGGACATTATCCTGCTTTTGACGAAGCGTTAGAAACTCATGGTAAAGATGGTCATCGGTCCTAGAAGACCGCGGTCCTACGGTCCTACACCATAAAAAGATGGACCGGTCCGTCTTAGTGTAGGACCGCGGTCTTTCGGTCCTGTATCACATATAATAAGACCGTCGGTCTTTTTATGGACCGCAGTCTTTTTAAGACCGATCGGTCTTTTTTCTTTTTTTTGCAAATAAAAAAAGATTTTCTTCCCTAACTTTATTAGGAATAGCCTTGTTTTATAAATGAACACTAATTGGGATGGTTTTTAATATAAATTTTTTTTTTTACAAATCACCTGGATATCATCACAACGTCATGCAAAATTTAAAGCTTTGAGAAAAAATACTTCAAAACGCAATATCTCGCTATCCAGTGATTATAAAGGGATGATTTTACCACCATTCGAATCGTCTCGCTGCGGCGCGTCGAATGGTATCAAAATCATGATTTTAGAATCGATAAAAAAAAATTACGTCAGCAAAACTATTTGATAATAAATTCAATAATTACCGACTATCTATCGATCCTAGAAACATGATTTAGTCACCATTCGACGAGTCTCGCTGAGACGATTCGAATGGTGGTGGTTTCATCCTTTTATGATCACTGGATGACGAGATATTCCGCTTAAACGCTTTTTTGGAGTTTCGGAGTTTCAGCGTTTTGACAAGCAACTCTACAAGTGGGAAGAGTGATTGTTATTATTTATTGGTTTGGAAATGGCCGGTCTTTATATTATTTTATGAAGACCTTTGTCAGATTAATAGGTTTATTCAATATAAAAATCATTTATTATATGAAGACCGGTATGAGGACTGGTCGGTCCTCAGGACCGGTCCTACTGCGCCACAAAAAAATGCAAGACCGCGGTCCAGTCCTACAAGTCCTGGGACCGACCGGTCCAGGACCGAGTAGGACCGGTAGGACCGATGACCATCCTTAACTCATGTTGTTGCTTATATTAAACAGAATATTACTGGAAATTCGTGTAATCAAGAAAACTTAGAGTTACAAATTAAAGCAACTCAAGAGGAAAGAAATCGAATAGATACATTATTAAATGAATTTCTGGGTACTTACACATATCAACACAAGGATCGCAACACAAATAATCGTATTGAACCATTATGGAAATTAGTGCATGATTTATTAGAAGCATTCGAAATGGATAATCCTATTAATCATGATCTTTTCAAGAAAAACTCTCCACC